CAAAAAGGTGAAAACAAAAGGAGAAAAATCGGCAAGTAACATATCAAGAAGTTCTCTTGCAAGCAAATCTTTTACTTTACAGGTTGGAAATTAATTAGAATTAATTTACTAAACCACAGGTTGATGCCAAACAATTTTTCCACTGAGACAACCAGACACGAGCAAACAATGCCTTGGAGAAAATTTTGTACTGACTACGATGCCAGAGTGACTAACATTTGTCACCAATTCGTGCAACTGTACAGACTCGTTGTAGGGGGGAACGCAATTAGATAATTCTGAACAATCTTTAGAAAATGCTAATAATCGTATGCCATAACCGAACGGTGAGCATATTAATCGGCCATCGGCAGAGAAACATAATTCTTTGATATAACCGGAACCTACGTTAGGTTCTTCTATGTAATGCGTTAATCTAGGTGTATTTTGATGAATCATACGATTTCTCGGAATGGCATACATCGTTTGTTGGCCTTGTCTATTCCGATTTTGAACTCTGATTCTATCGCCAATTATAACTACGGTATTGTTACTCGATCTAGAAAGCCAATCCCTCTCCCTTCTAAGCCTAGCTTCCCTAATCGCTACGTGTGCTTCCCACACATCGGTTGTACTTACGTGTAATTCTATATTACCAGTAGAAAAATTGTCAATCATATTGCGTGGTCTTAAGTAATTAAGATGAGAATTTGGTCTCGGTGGCCTGTAATCCTGTCCTGAATCCCTTTCTTGATCACCGGATCCCTCCTCTAATATGCTCTCATCAGCCGCGTAAAGATCAGCTGCATATATGTATCTATCTGCCTGCCTATCGTCTCGATCCACGCTCACTCGAGAATCGGACGAGCTTGAACTAGTAGAACTAACTTCGATCGCGCCGAAATTCGTTCTTGTCGCATTTCTATCTAAACGCGAATTTCTCGATTGCGATCGTGACGCCCTACGCGACGCCACTTGCCAGTTTCTCGAGGTTCTAACCGACTGCGTATTATCCGATAATCCGGCAGCGTTCGATCTTGTTGAATCTGAGGTTGTATGAATTACTCTAACGCGATTATTTGGACTTTCTATTAAAAAGGAAGAGGTTATACCCGAACGAGAAGGCTGAGGTTGTTGAAAATCCTCGAACTCCTCTACAGGTACTTCGTTAAATTGAGGAGTTGTTTCCTCTCCTTCTTTCGCCTGCTCCGCTATACTGGATACATCACGTTCTTGTATATCGTGAATACAGGTCCACTAAAACGAAGAATATAATAAACTTAATTATAAAAAAATGACATAAAAATATCGTAAGTAATTATATGTTGACATACCTCAGATTTTTCCCCATTACTAACGTTCCTAGACAAAGCGCACCATCCCTGTGGATGCACTTGCAAACTCGATATAATTTCGGCATCATCGCCAACAGGGAAATCGGTTAAAAACTCTACTCGATTATGAGTACGAGAATGGGAAAATAGATGGGTGAAACTTGCCACGTTTGGTATTGTAGTTTGAGATGATTGCATTAACCGATACATATTTGGCTGGAATCAAAAATGAAATTGTTATTTCATAAGGAATAAAAGATACAATGCGACAAACATATGAAAAATAAAACGTACTCTAAATCCTGCCAAGTCTTGACTTAAGGAGCTTAACTTAAGATTATGTATAATGATGAGGTATCCAGAAGTAGTACTTATTAACATTTTACTGGCATCTGGACTAAGTCTAGTGCGCATCAATCCATTTGTATGGAACACACGTGTATAAAGAATACTATTCTCTGTAAAACTATTTATGTCCCAAGTGTATATGCTACCATCAAAACCACTGGTCAGTAATAAGCTATCTTTGGGACTATACTCTATATTTTTCACCCAATTTGAATGACCTTGAAGTGTCCTTATTCTTTGCTTTAAGTTTCTAGCATCCCAAAGAGCTACTGTACTATCATCTGAACATGTTGCAAACATACGTTGATCCAAGAATCTATTATAAAAAAAATTATTATTATCAGGTATGTATTATCTTATTATCAGTATTAATTTAAAAAGATAAAGATACTTACCTAACACAATTAACACAATCATGATGAGCATTATCAATCGTGTGGATCAAATTCCTTCTCAAGGGATCAAACATTAAAATACTTTTTTTTTCGCATGCTGCCAATAGTAGAGAGCTGTAAGATAAGGAAAAAATATGATGTCATTATTATTAAAAATATGATTCTATTGAAATCAAAATGTCTTTAATATATGCATACTCACCCATCTGGAGAATATTCAAGGTTAAAAACTCCACCGTGTGCAGCAGCTGCAGATAATGCATGATCCCAAGAAGTTACTGGTTTCATAGACGAATAAAGGGTTTTATGAAAACAGTCGGCATGTCCCAATGGGAACTTTATACCCAATTCGCGTTGCCTTAACCAGAGGCTATTTGCTTGTCTGGTTCTTATTTTAGGCATTTCAGCCAGGTTTATATTTCACCAACATTCAACTAAATATATTTAGCGACTCAAGAAAAAACGTAGTAAATAAAACTTAGAAATATTTAATTAAAAATATTTAATTCAAACTCCAACTTCACAAATTCAGTTTATATCTTTTTTTTATATTGTACAGTGTAATGTGACCAATGTTGATATCCTCTCGAAATTGATCGATGAAAATTATTGATCCTCTCTCTGATAAAAGACACAGCATTAATGTCGTTTTCTCGAAATTTTTACGAGATCGTATAATACTGAAGTAATGATAAGGTTAAGTGCGAGATGCCACTAGCGGGCAGTATTACACGTGACTCTTGACAGACGCCTTCACGTTTTTTTCAATTGACGATCTTTAACAAAGCCGAGAATGGAATAAGTAACTGATCAAAGTGTCACACTTATGTGCAATGTCAAACTTTAATAGAATTTAAAGAAATTTTTAAACACCTGACACAACATGGATCAACGCCATCTTTACTTTGACATACAACGTCGTACATTGAGAATCGACAAAAACTCGAGCGCGAGTCTCGAACAAGATTCTCATCGTGTGTACGCTTTCAGGTAAACTAAACGAATAAATACTTTGTTTCGTCGAAAATCCACTATTCCTTTCCTCTCCTATTCCCACATTATATGATACGAAATTAGGAATTCACACAAGTATGAGTAACTGAAGTTGTTGTTCACTACTAGAAAACCAGTCTTACTATAAATATGGCATGGAATATCTTAATTAACATGTAAATGATACTAATTTACTATATTGAATGTACATAGAAATGTATGTCTTATTTCTGTACATATTTGATTATAATATATACAATTTTTTGTGAGCTTAAATTAATGTATTTACATTAACATGGAAAAAACGACATAGTAAAAAAAAAGATCATTAAAAGATATAAAAAAATATCATAATATACATATTGTTTTAATTTTTTTTTATTTTTTTTTTTTTGTTATAATTTCAACATAGAATATACATATTGTAATAGATAATTTTTATTCCTCGTTATATGAAATCAGTGTCTTGTTAAATTCGAGGCTACTATTGCTTAAATGCTTGTCGGTCCATTCATCAAATCTTTGAGATAATTTCTCAGACATGTAATTTTTCCAATCACCCACTTTACCCTTTCTTATAAATTTCTCATTTTCGGGCAAATCTTTCAATGGTAAAATCTGTTCCAAATTTGTGGCGGGATTAGCAGCCATGTTTGAAAATTTTAAATGCTCGCTAAGATCAGCAATTTGTTCATCTGTCACAGTTTTTCCCATAAATTTTGCTGTCCTTCTAATCATTTCTCTTTGATTCTGAAATGCAAAAACCATTATTTAAAATGCTTTTTTCAAATTATATTATAAATATATATTCTTATCTACCTTTTTCATTTCCTCATAAGTTAAAAATAATACATTTTCTTGATCTTTCATTTCCCAAAATTGTAAAACGTGATTCCAAAATGGATTTATCGGTGCTTAAATTAAAAATAATTTTTTAATAAATATAATATAAATGTTTCGATCGATATGTACTATGTTGTAACATACCACTGTCTTCTAAAAATAACTCGGCAAAATCCTCGAAACTTCCCGTCATGTTATGAAATTTTTTACAATAATGATAAAAGCTGACACATGTATCTTTTGGATTTCTGGTAACATAAATAATCTGAAACATTCGTAATATCCATGTTATAATTATATTAATTTTTTCATAGTATACTTTTATTCTTTTATAATCGTAACAGAATAAAAAGTTTAATTAAATACTTTTGGTTTCTTTGTGTGAATTTGTTGCGGCAAAAATTCAAAAGGGAGATGAGACTTTATATATCTAGGTCGTGACATTTTCATAACATTTTCAACAGAATCACCCATTTTAGCAAATAAATCTACCCAGTTTCCTGTGACCATCAACGACGATGCTCTAAACCGATAAAAATTATTTATGTAAAAAATTTTATCGCGTGATTTATATTATTTTTTATACTAAAACTTACTCGAGCAATGGATTACGTATAATTGTTAAAATTTCGGCATTTTTATAATCAAAGTTATTTCCAATACACCATACCATTTCTTGCACCCAATGACTACCTATTCATGGTAAAGAAAAATATTTTAATTTAAAAATAAGGAAGATAAACATTGATTAATTTTTTACCAGTTCGTGGATATGAGACCATCCACACATCATCCTCATAAACTTCCATATCTCTGATTTTCATTCCATAGAAAACGAATTGAGGCGGTAATAGACAATGCCTTGCATTCTTTTCTACTCTTAAAAAACTAGGTCTCACCCCAAACATCTTATCCAATTTTTCTCCTATATCACTCTCGATAGTGCTAAAGGTAAAGGATTTCTTATCCACTGCAAATAATATATTCAAAATTATATTTTATGACAAAATCATAAAATTATTTATTAAAATTTATGTAAACAACTTACTTGTAAAAATATTTTCTGTAAAAAATTCATACACTGCCACGAAGTTACTATGAGATACCAATGCTTCTACGGTTTGAAACGAAATGAGAATGTTCATGAGTTTGTTGGAATCTTTTCAATTCCAGTTTTTTCTTTTTTTCTCTTACAACAACTTTCGATTCTCCGTTATTTCCTCCTTCCCGCTTGTGATGCAATATGTTTATGTTGATCAATAAATATTTATTGTAAAAGAATCAATAAGAGATAAATTATTTTATCTTCGAATATTAATTTGAGAAATTTACAAAAAAAATATTAAATTTTATTTGCATCTATAGTTTTATTTGGAATATCTTTGTATTTTAAAGAAGAAATTTAATGAATTTTGTTTAAATTATTTTTGGATCATTACAATGTATACAAATGTTAATAAAAAATAGTAGCAATAATGATATAAAATTTGATGATGTAAAAAAATAATTTCAACTTTCTCGAAGATTTCACTTTGAGAGAAAGTTGACATGCTCCAACTATATGTGTCACACATTTAGATCTCGAATAATATAATATGAAAATAATCCCAATTTGAATATTTTATAGAAGTTGGTTTATTTAATTTAAGAAGATTGTTTAATTTTACTTGACTTTAATCTTTCGATATTAAGGTCAAAGTCAAGATCAATTTAGCGACATGTAGTCACATGATCTTCATGTGATCTTGAGTATGAAAAATTTAGAATATTTAATAATTTTATAAAATATTTCCAAGGATGCAAGGAATAATATTTTATTAGATATTAAAATAATAATACATAAATTATAAATGTAATTTATAAATGTTATTTATTAATAAATAATTATAATATAATTGCACATATTTAAATAAATTGATTATTCATTTTTAATGTAAAAATTAACGTTCCATCTAACATTCCATCCATAATAAAAATTGATTTTTCTTTTATAAAATCAGTCACTTTTATTAAAAAGAATATATTATCTTGAATAACTTATAACTATTTTTATAAAAAATGAAAAAACACAGCCGTTATTCCTACAATTAACGATAATTTTCGAACAACAGCGTTACTTGACGAATAACTATCCACTATGTGTATTTTCCAGCCCATGTTCGCATGGGTAAATGAATTGTAATAAACAATGTCTGGCCACGTGGAGTTCGGTGTAATTTCTAAATTTCCACCTTCTCCTGTAAAAAATTATATCAATTGAAGGAAATTTTTTTTTTCAAAGAAAACAAGAAGAACACCATTTTACCTGGTTCACATGTATTTATTAATGTTCTATTGAATTGTTTGAATGTTACAAAATCATCATCTCGTCTTCTATCTCGTCCATTGTGTTTGCTCAAGCAAAGTGGGCCAACTAGAAACAATAAATTAATTTTATAATTGTCTCTTTTTTCTTATATATCTAATAAATTTCATATATTTTATAAACCTGCGGTTGGTCTCGGCTGCCCTCTTCTCGTAAATTCAACTCCAGCCAAAACTCTAATATTACTTTGTGCCGCATCACTGAGCTTATCGTATCCACCGTGTAGTTCATCAGTTATAATCAACGGGTGATATAAATTCGAGCTGTGAGGGTTATTACCACCGAAAACACGAAAATTATAAGTCAATCCACGACGTAGATATAATTCAGGTACCAATCGACCTTCGATGTACCATGCCAATCCTGTGGATGGTTGTCCTAAGAAACATCTAAATTACTATGTTACTACTTAATATTAGATATTAATAATAATCAATATCGTATATTTATATCTTTTTATAAAACCTGTAATTCCTTGATAACCCTTTTTGCCTCCGGATGGACCGATCGTTGCTTTGAACGTTCGAATACTTCTGCCATATATTTTTACTTTTTCCCAAGGTACTCTAAAGAATAATAAATTATTAAGAATTATTCATTCACGATTAAAATAATTAATATGATTATAAATCACAAATATTATACTTACACTAATTGCTCATTATTTTCCGTAAAATCCATGCACGCATCCTCGGGTTCTTTACGGCCCAATTCTAATTTCAAATCATTTTTCAGATATAAATCGTGGAAAGTCGGCTCCCTATTTTCATTCAATCTTCCTAAGGCCCATACCACGTAAACTGGTCGATCAGTTGGATATTCTTTGTCTCCTGGATCAGCTATGGCACAGTGCATCCTATATAATTCCCTTTCAATCTCTTCCTTTTTATTTTAAATGGCAACTTACATGAGTTAAGGGTACGTCTGTAATTTATAACGGTAATTCCATTTTCTTTAAATGCAGTGTGCAGCTGGTTGTTATCCAAACCACCAAATAATTCGTCTCTACAGACTCCTTTGTATTGACCAAGAACTTTTCCACACTGTTTTCAAGATAAAAAATGAATTATTTTTTAACAATGAATAATTACGCGACGCATTCTTTGCATTTACATACTGGTGCTTTGGCAGTGATGTTGTAATCTACCACATAGCCTCTAATACTATCTAAATAAGCAACTGCAACATCTGCACCTTCCATTTGACTAGATGTTTCAGATCCAGATAGACCGAATGCCATATATTCATTCTCACCTGAGAATCGTTAAATTATTAATTCGAGAAGATCGAACAATTATCCAATTACGTTTACCTATGTCTCCTGCTAATTGAATAGTGATCTGTGGACCAAAAATTTCCCAGCTGACTTGAAATCGTTTGTGAAGTTGAATACAATTTGGCAAACTGTTTGTGTGCTTGATCACCTATACTTTGATAGACGGATTATTGATACTTTTACTTCTATCGATTAGATAATACAAGATTGAAAGAATGTATTACTTTTACTAACGAAGGAGGCACGTTTAATTCCTTTGGAATTATTACAGAGCCAAAATTTGACGCAGTTTCCACGTCGAAAATGCTTAACCAATTGATATTGAAAATTGTCATATCTCCAGGTAATTGAACGATCACATCTTCGCCCTTGTAAGCATGCAGTGAATCTAAACTAAAAAAAAAGAACAAATTAAGATCGGAATATCGGTTATCAATGGAAATTTTCAACTATACTTACTAGCCATATTCATCGGGAACTTTTGTTCCCCTTGTAGAAGGTTGTGGACCATCTCCTACCCAGAAATACGTGTCTTTTCCTTCTCCATCGTATTTAAAGTTTGGTATTTTGATAGTTTTTGAATCTATAATTTCAATTGGCTCTGAAGATACTCCATGCGAGTATTTCTTTAATTGAGACATCGTCGCTGGTGCCGGTGCGCGAAATTCATCGGGAAAAATCACATCGCCGAATACATTCTGCATAAAATATTTTCACAATTCGGCCGATCATATATCAAAACGATATTAATAATATTTAAAAATATCGAACAATACCTGACTTCCTAAGTCGTATATAGCAAACCATTTTATATCTGCTATCGTTTTACCATCTGGCAAATTAAGAGTGAGATTTTTATTGAAATATTTATCGAGGACATTTGTTCTAAAATAAAGACACATTTTTGTAAAAATTTCATTGTTTTTTTATACTAATTTTTTTTAAATTAAATCATACTGACTTGCCCCATTCATCAGGCACGATAAAACCGTGTGGACCAGCTCGCGTGGATGCACCAGCGAAGAAAAATGTATCAGCTCCGTTACCATCGTATTTAAAATTAATCAGCAATAATGTATTCTCGTCGACGGCGTAAACCTCGCCGGAAACTTCATGATGATATGTATTTAGTTTTCCAATGCACTTGCCTTTATATTCGTCACCGTCTAATCGGTCGTATTCTGTTGATTTCATTTCATCATGAGTCACTTAACAATTCTTTGTTTGAAATCACAATTGTAAGAGAAAATGGGAGAAATGGAATCTCAGAATAATGATTATATTTTTATCTTTGTTTTTATATTTTAACTTACGAGCATATTCATTTAAATGAGCATCAAATATTTGTCAATTAGACTTATCAAATATTCGATGAAAAAATAAAAGCTATATTTGGAATATCGATACTTGATCAAGAAATGTCAATTGATTATTGTACATTTATTGTTTAGAATACTTTTAATCGATTATTTTTAATATTTTTTACGCAATTGAATAATTTGAGAGACATACCGGAACAGCCATAGACAGAACATATCACGCATGTCAAAATTACCACAAAGACATGTGCCTTTGTGTCTTTCATCCATCTCCTTGTAACATCTGCCATCACTTCATCTTCCTTGAATTGTCATATACGTCTTGCACCTTGTTCCTGCACGATTTTATTACTTAAAATTTATGAAAAAAATGATGGCTTGATCGCAAGTTAGATGACAAAGCCTCGAGAAAAGAAAGAAAGGCACGCAGTCACTGTAATGGACGCTGTTCCAAGCAGCCGTCTTTTAGAAAGTAGACTTCTATACAGAGAATATTCTATACAGTATATTATGGTCAGTATACTGCACACCAACTACCTTGGCACGTGGTCTCGAAGAGAAAGTATGCGTGTTTTGGAGATACCTTGAATATGTTTCGATACCTACGAATGGTATATTAGATTCTGCTGGATTGTCAAAAGAAGTGTCACTGAATTCTTATTGTGTGAGTACTCATTAATATTGAATGCACTGAAGATGAAAGAAAGGAAGGAAGTCGATATAAATAATTGTATGGATCGTACAATTGACTATTGAACAAATAAATATTTGTAAAATATACACGTTATATTTAAATGAAGCACAGGTGTACGATGTTTGATCGATTTCGAGAGTTGGCCAAAAGTATAAGATAAGTACGTGCGTTCGCAAACTGAAATATTGAGATATAATGTCAAATACGAAATTTAATTATGAAAAAAATGGTAAGATAATCTCGAATGTCAAAATATTTCTTAATTACTTGTATTAACAACTTACGTTTCACAGATTCGATCGAGGAACAATTTATGTGGCTCCTTAGATTTGCCACTGTCAAAAAGATTAAAGATTTTCTAACTAAAATGTAAGTAAACATACATCTTCGATGATTTTAATGATAAAGGTAATTATAATTGTAGACCAACGATAGATCTACATTATCCCACGCCAAATTTGAGAACTCCTATAACGTCAGCCATTGATCGTGGTGATCCGCAAATTTTGTCGTTTTTATTAGAGAAAAACTCGACAAATTTAGATGGTACCGTTACTCAACCTTGGGGCAGAACTGCCCTGATGTACGCCTCTTTCGTTTCGAGAAATCCAGAAATCTTGCAGATTCTATTGAAGAAAGGTGCAGATCCTCAAAAAGTGGATATGTAAGGCGCGATTGTTACGACAATTTAAATGCGATTTTATTCAATCAATTTATACTTGTAGTAGAGGCTGGGCTTGTCTTCAGTATGCAATCGTGGGAGAACGATCGAAGAACGTCACATTTCTTTTAGATACTGGCATTTGTATAAATCAGAGAGACGTGCAGGGACGAACACCGCTTATGATCTCAGGTAAGAAAATGAAAAGGAATAAAAAAAATGCAAGATGGAGTATTCATTAAAAAATTTTTTTTTTTTTTCGTCCAGTGTATCTTTCCAATTTGGATATTCTTTCGATTTTGCTGGACCGTGGAGCTGACGTCAATACGCAAGATGACATGGGATTTACCGCCCTTCAAATAGCAATTTTATGCAGAAAAAGGGATGCAGCGATTATGTTGATCGAAAGAGGAAGCGATATGAGCGTCGTTACACCTTTGACCAAGGCTTCGATTGGTGAACTTTGTAGAACCTGTATGCCAAAAATTCTTCGATGTCTCGAACCAGAAACAAGAACATTACAGTAATTTCTATTGTCTGATTAGATGTTAAAATCGATAAAATCTTTTTTTTTTTTTCATTTTATTTAATTTTATTACATTACGATAATTATTATATCATATAAGTTTCCAAGGATGTCGGTGGAAATTTATCGTACAATATCGTTCAAAAGAAAAGATTTTGCGTGGAAAATTTTTCTTTCGTCAATTTATCGAATTCCTCGATCACGCTATCGGGCATTTCTTCTTTCCACTGATCAACTTTACCACTTCGAATAAATTCACCATCGACATTGATCAATTTCATCTGTTTATTCAATATTATGTGTTCCTCGTAATTCACTGCAGGATTTGATTTCATACTGTTGAAACTCAAATGTTGCGCCAACGCTTCTATTTGATCATTAGTTAAAATTTTATCAAGAAACGCAGCTGTTTTTTTTATCATCGTAGGCAGATCCTACATTTGACAAAAGAAACTTTCATCGTACCTTTTACATACGAATTTGAGAATATTTGATGTTACTTACAGATTTCATATCTTCGTATTTCAAAAATAAAATATTTGGATCGATCCTCCTCTTCCAGAAATCAAGTATGTGATCCCAATATGGAGCAAAGCTCACTAAGAAGTTAAGAAAATAATAATGAAATTAATGTTATAATTTCAACAACACACGTTTGTACATACGTTTATCTCCTAAAAATAGGCGACAGAAGTCGTGAAAATCACCACGATATCCCTCCATTAATCTAGTATGGTAATAAAAAGAAACACAAGTATCTTTCGGATTCCTGCTAACGTAAATAATTTTCGCCTTTTTCTCGCCCGTTCGAAGTTGACGTGGAAGTAAGGGAAAAGGAAAATGAGTTTTGATGAATCTTGGAGAAGGTAAATTTTTTATATACGTCACACTATCCAAGATTAACGGAGAGGGCTCGATTTCCGGATGACGTCGTATAATAGTGGTGTAATCAAAAAGTATGGAGTACCTGATCAAATAAATAATTTTTATTCCGATATTCTTCCTTCCTAAAACGTTAAACTTTATTAACTTACTCTAAAAAAGGAAATCTTTCGGACAAGCGAATTTTTGCTCTTTCAAAATCCAAGTCATTTGCTATGCACCAGATCATTTCTTGTGTCCATGTTGTTCCTGATTATGTAACATTTATAAAATGATTACTATGATTATGTGAAATAAATGACTGTGATTATGTAAAATAAAAAGTGTGATATTTTTTTTTTCTCTCTCTCTTAATAAAATTGACAAAAAGTGATACCAGTTTTAGGAAAAGAACAAATCCAAACGTCATCATCTCTGATTTCGAAATTCTCAATTACTTGTGCGAAATCCTCATATTTTTTTGGCAAACAAACGCCTTGTACGGTGGTATATTCTTCGCGAAATTCAGTAGTAAATTTGTCTTTCAAAATTTGATCCAAATCATGGGTTCCAATTTGGGGAGCCATCACTTGATACGTAAATATATGAATATATCAAAAGTCTAATAACTTATAATATCTCATTTGCCTGTCTCTAAAGATGAAGAGGAAATTCACTATCTCGAAATCCGTGAACGTCCTTATATAGAGCAGCTGGTAATTGAGAAAAACGAACTAATATCGTTGAATGGTTTTTGTTTCAATGTTATTTTACTGAAGCAAGGTTACTATCGGATCTTACACCACTTTTTCTTTCAACCAATTATTCTTCTCGAACATTCATTTGCTCTTGGAAATGGAACGCAAATTATTTTGCAAAAAAATATTTTTAATGCCTTGACATGCATTGATATTTGAAAGATTCATATGTTATTTTAAACTCTAAGATTTTTTTAAACGAAAAAAGACGGCGCAGGATCATCTTCTCGCATGTTTTATTACTCGATTCAACAAAATATTATTATGATCAATAGTAAATTTTCGATTGAATATATACAAGAAACATGTTATATAATTTATTTTCAATTAATTAGATAAATTATATGAATATAAACTGACATGAATGGAAGAAAATAAATCAATTTTCTAGCTACATTTCATACTTTTAGAATTTAGTAACCAAGGATATTAAATGAATGATAAAAAATAGAATGTTAAAAGAGAAATCGTGTTGCATGTATGAATAAAAGAAGACAATTATTAAGAACAGTAAATGATAAAAAAAATGGAACGTTAAAAGAGAAATCAGTCGAGTTGCATGTGTTTGAATAAAAAGTGTACAATCTTTTTTGAAGTCGAGTATGCATATCGCATATATGCATAAAATATAAGAATAAAATAACGAAGAAACTATTGTTTCAAGGATTCACTTTATCTTTATTAACCAAATGAGTATAATCGTCGTACAAAATGGTAAAATATTAAAGGTAAAAATCCAAGAGATTATATTATCTAAGTCTTATGCATAGCAAAGAATTGTGTACTGTAATTCAGGTACTAATAACTACTTTCATCATCTTAAAGCATTTCAATTTCCCACGAACAAGCGATGTATTTCCAAACGAACGCTTTTTTTTTCGACGCAGCAGTTTTTTGTTTTCGAAACATTTTACTATTAAAATATAAAATCTCAATGTTACGAAGTTCCCTATTGTTTCACGTGATAATGAAAATTATTATTGCATCATCATGTTTAGATTTAACATATGTGCAGCGGTTGTTTACTTTTAGTATGAAAATATCTTGGCAAGACAAAGATCCTTAAATTCAATGTTAAATATCATAAATTCTAGGCACAAATATGTAGAACAACGCATTACATATCTTAATCATGATGCGTGTCAAAGATTCTTGAATCTAAATTACTTGGATCTAATTACGTTATCATTCTGTGTTGTGTTTACACGCAAACTTTCTTATACATTCATGCACATCTTAAAATCATTAATTTTAAAAACACGTCTTCTAATTAAAAAGTAACACAATGTTAGTACGTATTATGCAGTATTGAAAGTAGAGAAAAGTAATAATCAAGAAGAAGATTCTGAAAACAAAAATCTTTAATAATCCTTTCAGGTTGAAAGGTAAAATAATTTGTACGTTCTTCTATTGTCTGTACAATTGTCAGACCGCTAATTGACATTTAAACTATGCACACGCAAATATTTCATTAACATTACAAGTTGGATATAACGCTAACACTTTGAGACAGATCTACTTGGCCCCTCAATACCTTCTGCTGCAATTTCTTACAAAAAATTTTGGCCATAAGTTTGTTACGTCGCGCCTCTTCTTGCTTTTCTCGTTGCAGCCGTTTATACCGCACTTCGTTCAAACGAAGATATCGTTTTCGCAATCTTTCCCTCATCTGTTCATTGCTCATTTTCTTTTGTGGAACTGTATACAAAACATTGATATTAGATACGCGATACAAATATTGAGAAAATAAACAATTTCATTAAAAGTAAAATAAAATCTTTACCTGGTTTACAACAAGATTTCGTCGATTTTATAACATTCGACGTGCTAGCCATAGCCAACAATTGTATTCGTTTTTCCTTCCGTAATTGACGCAAATGAGATATTTCCGACATATATTGTCGACGCGTTTCCGCATTATTTACAAAATCTGCTTTATTCTTAGACAAATAATCCTAAAATCCAAATATATCAATTAATATAAATAAGTTAACATATTTATTTCAAGTACTTACTTGTAAAGTATTTTTTTGCGGAGAATTTTTCTTTGAACTAACTTTTTTAATCATGTTGCAAACACAGCCATCTATTTTATTTTCGTAAGTACTACGATTTGATAATGGCACTTTTGGCAACGCACCCAAATTATCATTCTTCTGGCCATTCTCTTTAACGAACGACAATTCATACGCGATCGGTTTCGGATACATTTGATTACAATTACATTTCTTGACATAAGCTGCACCGCAGCGACAACAGTACTTACAATTTCTATCGGAATCACTCGTTTGATTCGCTTCGTCTACGTAATTTGGTTTGCCACTGGTGCACGCTTTGCCATGAGATATTTCTTCGCTACTTTTCCCCCTATTATTACAAAAACAATCTTTCTCGCATTTGCATTTTACATTGCTTTGTACTTTGTACTGAGCCGTTTCGTTTGTTTGTCCATTATTCACCCAATAAGGCCACAATTGAACCGAACAATCTTCCGCTTCCCCGTGGAAGTGAGCTCCGTTGTTGTATTGAACTCTTCCGTTTGAATGGCAACTACACAACACTTTTGCGTTTTGAACTTCCGGCTCGCGATTATTCTCGCAGAAACAATCGTTGGAACAATCGCACAATTTGATACGACCATTTTGATTCAAGCTCGATGAGTATCCATTATTAATCTGATAATCTTTTGAACTATATTTCATTGGTGCCCGACTTTTCTTCGATTGTTCGTTATCATATTCTGTACACACAGTCGTACAGTTACATTCTTTCGAGTTTCCATCCTCTTTGTCGCGCGCATGGAACATCTTCATCTGGTATTCCTCGCATTTAGAGACGTTGTTGCATTCCACTGTAATTACCGACGAGCTACATTGACATGCTTTGGATATTTTTTTACTCTCACATTTACAATCGCAAGTTTTCAATTTTAAAGTGTTTATTTGATTCTTGGTTCCTTTTGCTTCAATGAACTGGCCTGAACGCAGTGACGAGGTATTTCCACGGAGCTGATACTGTTACCGTTCGTCTGATCCGATAACGTCTGCGAGCTAACTGGACTGTCGTCCTGAAAGTTCTCGATATTTGTGTGCACCTTCTGAACGCTCAATCGTTCCTTTTGTTCCTGTGAGCATTGCGTGCAAGTAACTAGATTCTGGATGGCGTGATGCTTCACGCATTGGCTTACTTGTTGCTCGGTGCATTTGTGATTATTTTGAAACTGCATCGAACTGTGCGCGGGACACTTGACATAATGCACAATTTCCGACTGTATCAAAGCAGGAATTGTAGACGTTTCTTGAGGTATGGTTTGTACACCGATACTGACTAATTTAATCGTGAAATTGTGCAAGTTTGAGACGGACACGATTTCACCACCAGTCTTTGACAAGGCCCCGGTAATATTCGTCGCCGTTTGCGCACAACTGTTTCGCTTTTTAATATGTTGAATAATGCTGGTAGATGTGCTGGAATGGTGGCACGCAGCTAAATTACAATGAGAAGACCATGGATCTTCTAACGAATTAACTTGTGTATCCGAACAATTGCAATAATCGTTGTTTTTGGACAACTCGTGCGACGACGTTCCCATCGGTTTTCTTTTAAAATTTCCCGATCTCGATTTTTTCGGGGACTCTCTCGTTCGCAATCTCTCCGGTCTTCGCGATTCTTCCAGTAATTTTTTTAGATTGCACAAGTGGCTAATCTCGTTCGTGATCCAGATCAATTGATTCCTTTTCTCCATTTCGGCGTAACTAACTAGCTTCGAATCCGCGGAATCGGAACTGCCATGCTTCTTCATCTCGAATTGCCTCTCGGAAAACGTAGTGAGTAGCCTCCAGTCATCCTGTTCCCCTGTGTTGCTCGAACGAATAACGTTTCTCCTGTTGTTAACAACCGCGTCCAACAACATTCGATTATGATCAATTGTATTATTCGTCATAGCTGTTGTCGTTGTCGTCGTTCTGGTTGTCGTCATCTTCGAATCTCTCTGCATTTTACAATCTTTCATGCAAAATATGTCCTGCATTTTGTTCCCTTTACGACTTCTTTGCGGAAAAAGCATTCGGAACTTTCGCTTTTGTCGGTCATAGTATTGCTGCTGCTCCGATGGCAATCATCCGATCTGAGACCCATCCTTGCTTTTCGCCCATCTGTTTCCGTTCTGTCCGTATTTTTATCTATTTTATCACTACTACTTTCCGATGTGACATTCTTTGCCATACCTTTTCCGCTCCTCGTGGAGGATTTCCCCTGTGCCAATTCCTTCTGCAAATTCCAGTCGGTCGAAGAATCGCTGGTATTACGATTTTTCGTTATTGCCTGAAGTATCTCCCTACCGTAAACTTTGCTCCTGGCATCGTCTGGATTCCACGGAACGTTATCTTCTAAATTATGCTCAATTTTATCATCCGTGTATTTGGCGGTGATTAATCTCTTAACTACGTGATGTATCAGTCTTTTCTTAATTTCCTTGTCGCATTTATTCGCATCGACCAGACTCTTCAAAATATTCACGCTTCGTTCCAGATCCTTTACCAGGCTATCCGAGTCACCCCATAATTTCTCGTTAATGCTGGAGCTTGTATTGGGCAGAGTAGAATGAGATCTTCCCGTCTCTGAAGATGAAATATGGCTACCGCTTCCGTTAGGGACGTTCTCGTATACATGACCAGGAAAATATTCAAAGCTGTTCGCCCTACCTGTTATATTTTCCGTATCAGGCTGCGGTGTTTGCCTGCCCGATTCGTTCTGCGATTGTTCCGAATAATTTTGCTGCAATTTTATTTCCTTCCTTTCTCCGCTCGCTTCAGCATTTTGTGCTTCATTGGTTTTCTGTTTCCTTGAATTTTGAACTTTGTACGTATCCTTTGGATTCTTCAACATTAATGTCGAACCCTTTCGCAAACTAGTTCCTCTCTTTGGTAACGGTGGCTTCTCTTCCTCGAGAGCCGAAACTTGGACGCCAACGGATTCTTGAGTGTAAGCGTATAAAGTCGTCTGTATAACTTTATCACAAGTGGAAGGTTTATTTACAATAGTAGCAATCGAGGATGAAGAATTAAAAATTAATGGCAACGCAGATTTGCCCTTATCTCTACCGTACAAATTCAACTCGCTTTGACTTCTTTTCAATGGTAATTTAGAGGGTGGTATAAATAACGTGTTCATCGATGTGCTCTTTTTCAAAGGTGAGGTTGGGGGACATATATTTTCTTTGTTCGTATTCTGTCTGCTCGATATTTTCCTTACCTCAGTCGCGAATTTTGCAAAAGGTATCTTGGATGCAAAAGTCGATTTTGAAGTGTCATGGTTGTACTCTCTTTTCGAATACTGCATTAAAATATTTTGGTGTTTGAGATCCTTAGAGAAAAATCTTTCGTTAGATTTTATTCCATTTCCCGATATTATACCCGGCAAATGATTCTTCACAATCGGTGTAATTTCAATTTCGCTTTCCGATCCTGAAGCATTTCCCAACAATGGAGTAGAATTAGCATCAGGAATCATAGAATTGGTCGAATTTTTTTGAACTCCTACAAGTTTTCCAGAGATTCCTGATTCTGTGGTACCTTCAGGATCCAATCTTAAAGCAGCGGAACAACCTTTAGCTAAAGCCATTCGTTCTATCGTACTTAATTTTTTGTCATTTTGTTTATTGTTGGGAATTGTATTAAAATAACCAACATCCGCTCCACTATCCCATTCGAGAGGCTTATGAGAAGCAATACTAGAAGTTGGAGAAGATATTTTCCTTTCTATAGCTTCTGTTAATATCTCTTGATTTTCATTTTTTTCTTCTAAGATTGTTTCCGGTGTATTACGTTTTAAATCAGGTGATGGAGATTTAAGATTCGACAATGGAGTTTGAACATATCTGGACGATGATTCTGTATTTGAAGATTGACCAATAAGAGGTGGTCTCGCCCATCTTCTTCTTTCTCTAGGCACATAAGATTTTAAATTATATTCCTCTCCTATACAATCCTGTCTATTAACCTCTAATTTTGGATTTACTTCATATATGCTATAATAACATTTAATCGCTTCTGGTGATGTACTAGTTGAAGGCAGTGAAAAATATTGATCCAAATTTGCATTTTGAGAATATTTGTGATAATATTCCATCACTTGAGAAGAAAGACTTTTGTTTGTTGTCGCTGATTTGAGTTTTGATTGTGATGTCACAACCTGCAGAGAATGCCATGGTGTTGAACTTGTAGTACAGATTGGACGTTCAAGTTTATGTATTTCTCTTAAATGTGGGAGATCTTCTGAAGTTTCATATTCTCGCAGATGATCATCACAGTTCGATGCAGAGTCATACTCCATAATCACGAACTATATATGCTTTGTCATCTTTTATTCTTTTAATACACTGTCATATTTTAATGATAATAAGCTCACGTAAAGAATGTTGTTTATAAACATTAAAAAAATTAACCATGTTTTTTAATCAAATCAACATAACTCTTTGAAGTTTATGATGCTACACAGAGGTTAAGACGCTACTATAAACGAATCAATTGTGAGATCGATCTATAGTTTTGTTGACGTAAAAAATTTTCTAGCACACAATTCAAGAACTATCGTATCAAAAAAGATTATTATAATATTGATCAAACTATATTTTATGCACTTCACGTTTCAATAATAACAAAGTTCTGCAACAAACACTTCGATTATTGTTTACATTTCCCTGAAAATTCAATCGTAAATTAGTGGTTATATTCTGTATTATACTCCCGCTAGGGGATATACTTTACTCGTATAACCAATGTATCATTCGTCCAACCTACACCAATTACGATTCATGTTAAATCCGGATACGTAAGAAATTTAGAAACCGCGTGAAGAAATTTTAAATTTCCAACGTGCTCGGTATTATAACCTATAATACATTAAGTATTATAACCTATAATACTTAATTGTAGCATAAATGCAACAATTAATAAAAGGCAGAATTTTTATTAAAAACATACGGAAAAAATGCAAAAGTGCAGAATTTGTGACAGTACAGATTTTTACAAAGAAGCTGGCTATTTTTTCTGTCAAACATGTCAAACGCAGAACGAGGTATTGCAATTTTTTTTTCTTTTCAAAATTTGTCAAGTAATTCGATTATTTTTATAGGATATTAGAGAAGAAATTCTTGAATTACACATAGATAATTCAACTAGATTACGAAAAACAAAAATAAGACAATTAAAATCAAATAAATCAGGTTTGTTTTAATATATATTAATTATTTATTATATTATATATATTATTAATTTAAATTATTCTAATATTCAAATATTATTTAACATTTTTAAATTTTATGATTTTTCATTCATAATTATTAGGTGAGGAACTTGGATGGACATCATGGGAACTATATAATTTTGTTTTAATTGGATTAACAAATGAATTAATAGAACTTGGAATTCCATCCGAAATAAAATTAACAATATTACAATTGTGGGCAACATATTTAGGCAAGATTGAGGTAGCATTTATATCAACTAAAAAAAAAATGTTTGCCAAAATTGGCCAGAAGATATAAAAGAAGGTATGTTAGAAATAAAATTAAAATTAAATTTAGATATATTAATGTTTGATGTATTAGGGATGCTGAAATTATTTATGGCAAAGTACAATCCCAAAAGAAGCACAGAAAACGCAAAAGAACTGGGAGTAGTACAAATACTTCTGTAATATCAAGTGGTCAAAGTGAGGCTAGTTCTATGAGAGAATTACAAAAAAATAAGTAATTTTTATAATATTTATTAAAGTAAAATTCATTTTTATTTTATACTTCTTCTAAACTATATTTATTTATTTATTATTAGAGGCTTTTAGCAACAGCTGAATATGATAGATATCTTCAGTCCCAAAGTAGTTCTTTAGGTGATGGTATTAGTTCATTTAGTCAAAGTGTATATAGTTTTCAATCTACTTCAGCCAATTCTTCAGATAATGATGGAAAGTAAGTCTTTAGCTCTTTTATAAAATAAAATTTAATCTATATTGAATATAATTTTTATACCTTTTAATTTATCTAGAGTACAATTTAGTTCTCATGCCAAAGAAGAAGCAAGAAAAATTAAAAAATTATCTAAAAACGTACCTAGATCTGAAAGAATTAAATATAGAGCCAAGCATATAAGTAACCAATATAAAATGGGACCTCATATAATGACACCTATGCGACTATGGGCAATTATATATTTAGCTTTGAGAATTCATGATCAACCTATACAATTAGGAGATATGTTACGGTAATAAATATATATTCTTTTATGATTTTTTTAATTAAAATATTTTTCCTTGATAGATATGGGAAAGAAGGACATTTATCTTATTATAAATTAGATCATTTGTTGCCACCGGAAATGAATTTAACAGCTAATGAAAGAAGCTTTTTAAGACAAAATGTTGAAATTACACATAAAGGAATGAGACGAATTATTGCAAGTATGGCAAAATTTCTTGGTGTATGGGATATAATTTGCCCAGATATTTTATCTTTAATTAAGAGATATTGTCAAGAATTAGGATTACCAAGTATGAATATTTTATTTGATTATATTATAATATATATAATATATGTATAATTTTAATATTTATTTTTATATTTTTTGCATTACCAGTTTGTTTTCTTAATATTAATTTAATGTTATGTATTTATATTTATATTTTAGGGGGTATCCAGTTGTATACAGAAAGATTAATAGCTTTATCACCTCCTAAAATGATATTTAATATAAAAAAATCATATATTCCAAATTATGAAGGTCGTGCAATTGCATTTATTATAGTGGTATTGAAAACTTTGCTTGGTTTAGATGGTATAACTGAATATTATATTAGTCGGATTGCAGAAAAAATCAATAGGTATGTTGAAAAAATGAATATCCATTATGTATATTGTTTTATGTTTTGAACCTCAAAATCTGAAGATGTATGGTATTATTAATATAAGAAATAAGTAGTTTATTTGAAGTAAAAATGGAATTCAGAAAAGGTACGTCTTGTAATAGAAAAATTAAAGAGAAATGTATATGTTATAAAAATACTATTCCATGTATAATCGTACATGGCGGTGCGGGAAATTTTAGTGATTCTATAGCTATAGAAAAAATGACAGCGTGTAAAAAAGCTGCCATTAATGGTTATAAAAAATTAATAAGTGGTGAATCTTCTGTAAATGCTGTAGAAGCTGCATTATGGTGGTTAGAATGTGACGAATTTTTTAATTCTGGTTATGGATCTGTGTTAAATGAAATAGGTATTTTATATATCCTGCATAATAATAAAGGCCACTTAAATAAATTTTTATCATATTATCATATTATATATAAATTTTCCTAGTATAGGAAAAGTTGAAATGGATGCAAGTATAATGGATGGCCGTAAATTCAAATGTGGATCAGTAGCAGCAGTTTCAGATATAGAACATCCTATAACACTTGCAAAATATGTTATGAATAATTTTCCAAATTCTATTTTTGTGGGTGAGGGAGCTAAAAATTTAGCTAAATATGCAAATTTAAGTTTCTTATCAGAAGGAAATATGGTATCACCTGCTGCACGTGCAGCTTTTTATTCAGAAGAAGAAGGAAAATTAGATGCTGATATTGAGAAAATTTTATTGGATATCGATATGTTAAAGAGTAAATATTTTTAAAACAATTGGAAAAATTAATTTTTATGCATTCATGCAATTATTATTTATAGATATTACTCGTTAAATATTTATAGATAATGCGGAACTGTTGGTTGTGTAGCATATGATGGATATAGTGTAGCTGCTGGAACTACAACAGGTGGTTTAAATAAAAAATTGGTAGGAAGAGTAGGAGATTCTCCTTTATTGGGTTGCGGTACTTATGCTATTAGAAATATAGGTTGTTCCTTAACAGGACATGGAGAATCTATAACAAAACTAGGATTAGCTCGTGCAATTGTAGAAGATATTGAACATAATTTTTCACATATGGAAGCTCTTTATAAAAATTTTTCTTATATGTTAAAAAAATATGATAAAGTTGGTGGTGGAATTGTACTTGAATCAAATGGTCATTGGGCAACATACTTTACTTCTGAAAAAATGCCATATGCTGTAATTGACAATGATTTAATTACATATGGAGTAAAATTATATGAAGAACGGAAAGAATTATACAAAATCGAAAATGATTATAAATGCGAATACGAATATCCTACTTTAATTGTATTTTTAATGCGATTATTTATTTTATATTATAGATAAACTATATTAATCTTCATTTTATTAATATAAATTTTTTTTATTTCAGCATAGCTATTGAACGTGGTTTACTGAATGAAAAACTTTTTAATTTTCAAGAATGGCAAAGATATATCGAATGCAGAAAAACAATTTTATCTCGTGCACATTATCCAACTAAAATGAAATATTATCCCGACTTAGATGGAATTGACGATTTATATTTAAAATTCTTAGAATTTATAACTTCTAAATCGAATAAAAATGAAGTAAATATAAAAAGTTCGAAACATTTTTTACCAGAAGAACTTATTAATGGCATGAAAAAACATATAACTAGCTTAAATATTAATGATTTATCACCAAAGACAGTAGATATATTTCCACCATCTCTAACTCCACTTTATTCATATTTGCAATATTTATTAGATAATCCGCTCTATGATATTCCTAATATATTAAAAAATGATTTTTTTCTTACAAAAGTTGGATACATGACAAAATCTGAGTCGTAAGTAATTAATAATAATTGATTAGAAACATTCTGATCACATTCTAATCACATCTAATTAAAATAAATTAATTTTTCTTTTTC